TTAACGGAAAATGTGCGAAATTAGACTCCTCAACTCCTACACAGCACAGTGTTCTCCCCTTGATGCCCCACAGATCCTGAGACGTGGAAGGGACAATTGGTATGAAGAGGTCTCAAAGAGCACAAGCAAAGAGAAAAGAAAAGAAAACAGCATAACAAACACTATTTTTCTCCAGAGCACACAGTGCACAAGCCCATCGCAGCTCACCAACTCCTATAGCTCAAGCTTTGAGACTTCAACTAAAATAATTGAAGGCTTACATAATGTTAAATGTATCTACAGCATGAATTTTCATTGCCAAGACAGAACAGGTTTTGCCAAAACAAACATAAATGTTTCTATATTCTAGCTGCCATGTTGAACTGACAAGGAGAGTTGCTCTGATCTACTCAATGACCTTCACTGAAGAACCCTAACTCTGAATATAATCTGATTGTACAGGGAAGTTACCATTCCCTACCACTTTCAAGCAGTGAATCTGTACGCTCACATTCCTGCATACAAGAATTTTTTTTTTTTAAATTAAATAAGAAAGTAGTTCTGCAGAAACTTGTTTCAGAGTAACAAGATGGCATGTGAACCAGTAGTGGAGTTCAGCAGCAGAAGTCAGTCCTGACACTTAGTTACCAATCCATTTGGCCCTTGCACCAAGCAAGCTTGAAGACTTCAAGAACCAAAGAACAAGAAAAGGGTTTTTAAATGTTTGGGCAATAGATTTGTACTGAGCAAAATACACTTGCTTCCACTGCAAGCACAACTCCCACAGACACAAAAATATGCTGTTGTTTTTTTTTTTACCTCCTGTATTGAGCAGTGTGTTTAACCTTGGAGCTGTCAAGCTCCATCATGAATAATGAGCCATGACAACACTCCAAGTGATCCTTGGAGAACAGACCAATTTTTACTATATGCTACGCAAGGCAACACAGCGTTATCATATTCCCATGGTACTGTACCTGCTTTGAAAATGCACAGTAATGTGGCCATCAAGAGGAGACCACAAGTAAATACAGAAAAAATAAGCTACTTCCTGATACTTCATCACCTACAAACACAGAACGAGCAATAAAAGATGTAACATCCTAATGGTTCCTATTTAAAATTAAACCAGGACTGAGAAGGAGATTTGTCTCACTGAATATGCATTTCACAGCCAAAGAACATCTGCCTTTGAAACAACCCATGGTTGCTACAGTATGAAGAGAGAGCACCCTGCAGGTCTCGCAGCACCATGCTTGGCGATGTCTAGCAGATGAACATGAACATGGGATGGAAGTGTGGCCTCTGCCCCAAGCAGCACCCCCAACACTCTCAGAGCAAACATAACCCCCCCATACACATGGCACTGCTAGAAAGTAGAAGAAACTGTAGTTGCTTGAATGACTGAAGTTCCTCTACACTAACGCCCTAACCATGCCAAGGCAGGTCTTTAAGAATGCACAGCACAGGTAAACAAGCAATGGCAAAAGCCATTTCTGCTGTGCACCTCCCAAGCTGAAGGGGAAGAGGAAGACAGAGCAAATAGATTCATCTACAGAAAAGAAAAACTAGAAAGAAACAAGCTGAAGATTTAAACAGGTGTTCACTTCTCTAAACAACAACAGAAGGTTGTGGTTCCAAATATCCTTAAAAAATAAAAATCATCACCTGTTCAGGAAATAAATGCTAATTCATTAACACAAACCTGGAAAACACACCTGTTCTCTAACAGACCCAAGCAGCAACCATCTGTTTGGTGTTTCTGCAAAGGGGAAAAACAAATACATCCTTATTCCTGACCTGTTTGCAACAAGGTACTTGTTCATGGCTTTGTAGTGGGAAAAACTTGCCTTTATTTCTGCACCATTTCCTAGCCTCATTGCCACAACCAAAAGCACACTGCATCACCTTCCCCCCTCTGTAGGGGCACCACTTCAAGTTCAGTTTCAAAAGTTACCATAAACTACAGGAGCTTTCAAAAAGCTCTGGAGAGCAGGAAAGCAGCAATGTCTGGCAGTAGATGCTTTCCTTTTCTCAAGTTGCTAAGTTTGCAGTGTCAGACAGCAGAAACCAGTCCTGAGCACTTTGAGGAGTTTTAAGTGCTAACACATCTCCCTCCCACTGAACTGCTGTTAAAAACTGATCCCTCTCCTGCAAGACTGATGGCTCTTAGAGAGCCAAAGTCTGAAACTCTCTTGAGCTCTTGCCTGTGGCTGAAGTTGGAGAAGAGCCTCTGCCACTGAAGCAACAACATAGTTACACACAATAATGTATTTATTAACAATTTAGTTTTCCATTCCGGGGTATGGCCACCCATACCCTACCTCCACTTGCTCTCCTTCCCCTCTACTCACCTCTTCCACATTCCACAAAATGCCACAGGGCATTTTGCAGCTACTTGCATCACACTAGATCTCCCCTTCCCCTGCAGCACTCCCAAATCAGCAAGACCCATTCTACCACCACACACAGCACTACCACAATCTCCAGTTCAAAACAGTTGTTCTGCTCTTAACAGAGGAATTGCTTTATACTCAAAGTCATCCCTCAAATTACAGGGACAGTAGTTTTCTCTTTAGCACTATAGTTAAAATATCCTCAGCCCTCCACATATACCATGTCAGTTTCTCCCACTCCCTGATAATATATTTCCATTTATGCCCCACATCACAGCTCTGCAAGTTTTGCAATTCCATTCCCTGCTAGCAATATTTGGCAATAAGATCCTTTTAAAGGAGGCTAATCACAGACTTCACTTGCAGAAATTGGTACTGGGCCAATCTGTAAGCTCTTTAATAGGCTTTCAAACTTCACTTCACACCAGGCAAGACTTTGCTCTCCACCAGGAGCAGCGACGTAGCTCTAAAAGCAAAGGTGGAAAGCTTGCTGCTGCAAGGGGAGGAGGGAAGGTCACAGCTCTAATTCTTCTTGTAGCACTGCACCTTCTCCATATGAGTCTTACCCTGGAGACACGCTGGCTGTGTTTCACAAAAGAAAAACTAAGAAAGCCAGTTCAGATATCATGAAAAAAAAAAGAAATGTAGTCACAAAAAAAAAAAAAAAACCCTAGCTGAGAGTTGTATCAGAAGAGGAACAAAGACTGGTATGACAGAAAGTAGGTCAAGGACTCAAAAATTAGGAATTGATATAATTAAGGATGCATGGTCACGTATCACAAAGGAGCACGGCATTTTCTGAGAACACTTGTGTGAAGATGGATTTCAAAGGGACGGAGGAACCCAAAGCAAAGTCTCTCAAGCACCTCAGTATCTAGTCCCATATCAGGACAAATGCTTTCTGCCTATCTATGTCAGACTTAGCAGAGAAAACAGCAACCCCACCTGTGAATGCTCCTCTCCACCTTTGCACTGCTGCCATGTTTGCTCTCTATAAGCTGTGCCCACAACACCTGGTGAAATCACATTTCAGCCAGACCATTTTCCTGAGGGGAATTAAAGCATAGAGGGCAATTTGCAGAGTCTTGCAATCTGCCTGATAACTAGGGTGGAAACTGAAAAGGGTAATTGATAAAACGATGGTCAACAGAAAGATGGTCCTGTTTTGAAGATACAAGACTAGCACCCAGGAAAACTACGCAAGAGCTTTCTGTGCAAGGTTAGACAAGTCATCATTTTCCACTATGGTCAATGACTACATGGCATCACATGCAGACGTCACACCTGATATACTAAAATACTACTGTCACTGTGGCTGACTGCCCAGAGAATCCCAGCTGGAATCTGTGGAAACCACATGCACTGCGTACATGGCTGTCGGGAAGTCTCCAACTAAGAGCCCAACCCACAGACTCTTAAAAGAGAAGAGTTATGAGTGTTAGACATGTAAAGCGTACACATCAATAACGTCTATTTGACAGAGATTAAACCCATGAATATCTACAACATCCTCAGCTTTTAACATACCTAAAGGTTTTCCCCACTGGGAGATGCCACACTAAAAGAATGACTTGTCACAGTAGCAGACTTTTCTCCTATATATAGGCAAGCCTTTAAGAGGCCAACAGAACCACTCTTTCAAAAGGGCTACACACCTACTCCAGACACTATTAAAATGCATTTTAATCATCCTGGAGGACACCTTTGGGGACAGGAACACAGAGCCATGGTACAACTGCAAGGTTCACATGTTAATTTTGAAAGGCAAACCACAAGTCTGACCACTCCCTAACCCCTAAAAGCTGAGAATAAAAAAGTGGCAGGAGAGAAACTATCTTTTTCCAGCCTTATTCTCTGAAGTACCCATGCACATTTCACTGAAATGTCTGCAGGGCTTCAAGACTATCAAAATATGAATACCTGAACACAGACTACCATAATAGGGAACAATAACAAACCCAAGAGGTGTGTTAATAGATGCTCTAATATTAATGCCCGCACACACAATGCTTATCAGAAGTGCAAAGGCATTTGAAAGGAAAAGCACTATTCAAATACAGGTATTTGCCAGCAGCTGTATCCCCATCATATTCTCTAGCTGCTTTTGATTCAATTCAGTGGACATCAAGTTAATCCCACAGGACAGTATCACTCACTTCTATAATAGCTACTGACCTCATTTCCGTGTTTGAGCCCTGCTGTAGCGTCATGACTAAATGTGTCAAGCAACAAATCACACTTTGTCAGCAGCCAGTGCCTGTCCTTTCTCCTTTCAAAGCTTTCATTCATTTCCGCATTTTTTAAAGTCATGCTGCTTCAAAACAGCTGATCCAGATGGTGGATATTCAGATTTCAGCCTTCCCACATGGTGAATGTGGCTCAAGAAAATAAAAACTGTTGCTACCTGCTGCTGACCTACTTCTTTCTTTAATTTGTTTCCTGCCATACGACAGAACAAACAATACAGTTCACTGAACTAGTCTTCCACACCTAACCATTGCTATGTAGCAAATATAAAATAAAACTAATAGAGGAAGGAGGGAGAAGTGAAGAAAAAAAAAAAAAAAACAAAAAACACCACAAAACAGCATGATCCAGTGGGGGGTAGGGGGGAGCAACTCTCACCTCTGTCATAGTCATCTTCCTCTATTGCCTTTTCTTGAAGCCTCTGAAGCCGTAAGATCAAGGATTTTATCTATGCAAAGAGAAAAAGTTAATTAATGAGGAGGTTGCATTTAAAACTATTTAGGCTATTAACCTCTACAAAATGTAAATTTAATGGATTACTACATCACTAGAATGGCCCAATTTTGAGAGTTAAGCCCAACATTTGTTAAGTGGACAGACCTATTTGGAAGTCAGCTGAACTGCAGCTACTTGAGCCAAGCATGGCTTTAGTCCAAACACAGAGAATAACAAACAATATTCCTTGAAAAGCAAAAGAGATCATGTGATCATAGGATATTTTTCACCCTTTGAATAAATCAAAGTAAGGATTATTAGAGGATTTTGTCAGCATGACACCTACTCCTGATCATATTGTACTCAACAATGCGCTCTTGAGCCCATTCTAACAACTTTTTGCCTATATGAGTTTTGCACAGAACAAATCCAGAATTTCCATATGCAAACCACATTTTCTTCTGTAAGTAAAAAAGAAACACAGTATGAATATTTTGGAACAAGTATACTCATGTTATGACACAGAAATTTGTGTTCACATGCAGCCAATGAAGATTCATTAAAATATAATTTAGGTTCATCTACATAACATTGACGTTTGCATTTTGAGAAATGTTCACATTGTAAATGCTAAATGGGAAAAAACACCTATACCGCACAAAGAGTGCCCTTTCACACCCAAGAAGAAACTCTTACCATAACAAAGTTTTATTTCAAAAGCTACTGCTTCTCTTTGTTAACATGAAGGGTCTGGACCAAAGTTCTGAATTTACTAAAAATTCATAAGGCCAGGTATGCTTCAAAGGTCATTAAAATTTTTTACTGTTCAAAGAATTTGGTTAGAAGGTAGACAGTCCTCTTCCCAGCCACAACCTAACACAGCTACAGTTACAAGACGGAAAAGTGTTTTCTTATTAAATTTATACATGACCTGTACCAAACAGGCTATTATCAGCACTGAAAAAGGTAGGCCTGGAAAAAGAAGCAGCATATATTCTTATAGCCCAAAGCCTGAAAGTGCTTGGAAAAGCATTTTCTAACACAAGAAAATCCATACTTTAGACATTCTGCATTTACAAAAGATTTCACTCCTCCCTGAAACTCTTTCATATTTAAATCCCTATATTTAAACTCTAAATTGCATAGAGAAAAATAGGTACAGCCAGTCAACAACTTAATAGAAACACTCAGTTATCATGACTACACAATCAACACACAAATTAGGCAAGACATTTAAATTTATGGTATCCCTTCTAAATATGGTATGTGAAAGCAAACTAGTCAGAGAAGAACTATAAAAAATAAAGCCAGAACAGAATTTAAAAAATGCTTGATTAATAATAGGCTATAGGATGACCTAGAGGAAAAACAAAAGCAAACAAAAAACAACACTGTATATATGCCCTTTCTCTCAAGGCTTTATTTTATTTTGTTTTTCACATCCTGAAAGTCCAATCTTCTTTTTCCGAGGCTAGTGAGGAACACATAACATATTGAAGGGAGGAGCTCTGAATCCTCACCAGAAGTTATTTTCTGTATTTTACACCATACATACAAACCCATAGTTTTAAAGAAGCCTGCAGTAGGAATGGTTCAAATGACACTTTTTTCATATATATGATGTATAACAACCATCCATACCAAGATTACAGCTTTGCTGCCGTTTGCAGTTTTTATCCCATCACGCGCTCACAGTGTCAGGTCATTTAAAGTCTGCTTGGATACCAACAGTCCAGGCATGCCTGCAGCAAACTGACTGATGCTGTCACAGTAAAGTGCTTTCTATTTGCAGGCTGGTAAGATGTTTGGAGCTCAACTAATCAAAGAGCTGCTTCAGCGTGGCTTGTCCTGTATCTGTACCATGTGATGACCACCTTTTTTTTTTAGTAAGTACAGAAAAAGCGTAATTCTAACCACCTTTGTATTGTCTCCTTTTCTTGACTACAGCTGCCTTTGTTCCTTTCTGAAAAGTTTGAGACTTGTTTATTATCATTGCAATAGGAAGATGCTTCAAATTAAACATACACGACTGGCTAACCAAGGGCAAAGACATCTGAGGACACAAATCCCCAATTCTCCATTCAGTGAATTAATGAACACAGAAATTAAAGATAGCAATGTTTCTTTTGTGCCTATCAAATAAGCATACTGAAAAGACAGAAAAATAATTTCCTATTTTGATTATGTTATATATTCCCCAATTTGCAGCGAATTAATTTCCCAAGCCATCCCAGGCTACGGGCACATTGTCATTCCAGGTATGAAGCCAAAGAAACTGCTCTGTATTAATGTGTGTGAAGTCTGTAAATAAGAGAACCTAGTTTGAGTCCTACATGCATCCTCTATGAAAAGTAAGTATTAGAGAGCATGGTAAGCCCAGGTCAGATGTCATAGAGAGTAAAGCAAGAATAAAAGTTTCTCGATCTTCTGCCTTACCCAGACAGCAGCATTGTGCAAAGCCTCCCCAGAGCAGGTTGTTTCATCAGGCCTGAAGACAATACAGTGCATCTCAGCAGGTATGTCTGAGCTGAGAAGTCACAAGAACCTGGGTTTCTGAAAGGCATCCCAGAAACTCAGGGCACTAGTGAAACACTTCAAAACAAAACAAACACACACCCAAAACCCCACACCACCACCACCCACTTAGTGCATCTTGAACAAATTTGTTAAATCCATTGTGTCCATATTAACCTCTGGATTACTGCTTCCTGCATGCACAATAAAGCTAATATTCGGCTCCTTATCACAGGTAAGCTCAGAATGCTTTCCCTCCGATGCCCACGCTGCCATCCCAAAAACTGTATAACAAAACATAACTCATCCTTCTTAAGGTTTCCCCACCCCTCTCCCACAAAGAACACAGTGAATGAGAATACCTGTATATGTGGTAGGTATACGTGTGGGTATACACATGTGCAAAAAGAAAGACTCCTGACTCAACAGCCCAGTACTCCTCTGGGATGGAAGGGGGGAGATTCAATTCCCAGTTTGAGTTAGAGCAAGGACTTGACCCCCATTTTTCTTCATGCAGGGAGAGTACCCATCTATTAGAATACAGGCTACTCTCATGCAGGTGCCTCACTCCAAGAAATCTTTGGCTAAACTTACACATTTCCAACTACAAAGTTTGATGTTATTAAATCACGGTGCTTCAAGAAAAGAGTTATTACCCCCAAATTTTGTACTATATATACACTCCAAACTGCAGACAAAACAGCCACCTGTGAAAAAATAATTACATTCATTGAATTCAGAAACTGATGTGCAATATACTAGAAATGAGAGGATCAGAGTTTCAGTAGAACATGGGAATCAGGTATTGCAACACCATCACTTTTTTTTTTTTTAAAGAAACAAAAAGAAAAGGAAACTGGTTCTCTCACTTTTATCGTGCAGACTGCTACTGTAAACCTCTATGAACAAATGTCACAAAAGCCATTAACATCCCAGCTCCTACATCAACTTTGACTTTCGCACTATAAATACAAATGTTTTGTGGGCCAGGAGGATGAATCAAAGATGAAGGGAGATAACTAACCTTTAACATACTGCGGTTGCCAAGCAGGCAGTCCTGTAGCACTGGTTCATATTTTTTCATCAAAGTATCCCAGTTATGGTCACTAACAGTAAAGCTACTTTCATAGCCTGAGGTGACAGAAGAGCCAGCAGATGCTGCATCTGAAGAATCTGTAGAATACGAAAATGTTGCATCTGTATCCGAGAGAGAGACAGTCTCATAGTCCTGTAGTCTATCACTCATTGCGATGTCATTTTCATACTCCAAATCCTCTCTGGGCCTGGAGAAGCAATTCAAAGCTCCCGAGTGCTCACAAGTCTGTGCTGTCTCCTCTACCTTCTGCAGATTTCCTGTGGTGCTGGGATGCAGAATGTACTCAGCTTCCTCAATGGCTGACTTGCCTTCAGCATCGCTTACTCCAGAGGACGAGTTCAGGGAAAGCTGTATGAAGCTGAAACTCGAACTAAAGCTATCATGTGAACCAACAGAATGAGAAACAACATCCCTGTTTTGATATTCACAGTTGTTATTCACTTCTGTCTGATCCAAAGCATACATGTTTTGGGGCTCGCTCACTTTAGCGCCGTGGCTCTTCTGCCACATACAGCATACAGCAGAAACATCTCCTTTGCTTGTTGCTGTGTCTGGGTAAACCGGTATCACTGCGTTTTCTGACCGCGGACTCTTGTAACATGAAAGATTTTTGCAGCTCCCTGGCATATTTCCAGTAGTGGCCAACATTGTTACCCCATCAGGGGGAACTACAGCACTATTTGCAACTGAACTACAGTGTAAGAATTCAAAGTTATTTTTGTATTGTCTCTGTAGAGAGCAGTTCTCAAAGTCTCCACAATGCTGCCTGCCATGTTTGAGCTCTTCTGAACTGAATGGCTTGCAGGCACCCAGGGACTGAAACTCTATCTGTCGCTGAGCTTCTGGCCTCATGTATCCGGGTCTTTTTGCCAGTTTCTTTTTACGAAGAGAGCCTGCAGGCATTAACTGCTCCTGACCATCTGAGGGAGGGAGGGGAAAAAAAGTCATTAAAGTGTTTCTGCAGTTAGTTCTAAGGCTTAACATATTGTCGCATCTGAAAAGAATTGTTTCAGGCAAGTCAAACAGCGCATCAGTTTCCATTTTGACAAAACAAAGACACTGACCGTACAGCAGACAGAGGAGAAAAGTTGTTATCAGAGAATACTGTGTACATTCATCCACTTTCTAAAGAGTTTCCACCTGCTTTTAAGTGAACTCACTAACATAATCATATCTATCAGGACACAAACCTGGGTAAGATGAACCACATCATCTTCCCTATTCATAGCAATGCTCTACACCCCTCCATTCTCAATTCACTTCGCAGCACACTAAAGCACAGACCTTGTTTAAGTCTCTCTGATCCAGAGTGATTTTCAGGCTTACAGGCACATCTAGGATAGGGTCTGAATCCGCATCAAAAAGATGAGAATCATACTTGCAAAGAAATTTTGTGCATAATCTGTTGTTGCTCATGTCCAGTTTCTTGTGTTCATATCCATGTTTTATTAATATGAGCAAGTGTTTCAGATTCTGCTTCCAGAACAGATGCAACCCTGTAACACTCCATGGCTGCGTATCTGTCAGTCTAATGAGTATTTTTTAAGTTTTCACTTAGATTTACTGTACTACATATTGTCCAAAATGTGAAGTTAAAGGAAAAGTTTTGCATGCAGGACCATCAGTCCTAGAAAACTAATGCCACCATATACTTGCTAGCATTACTATAGTATTAATATATTTAAGAAAGGGCCTCTGCTCAATAGCTCAATCTCCCCACATATACCTTACTTACACAGATGCAAAGATAAAATTTGCTGCTTGCAGAGCAGAATAGAAAGAACCAAGATAAAAAACAAAGAACATTAAAAGTGGGAGATCAGAATATGGTATATTGTCTTTGTTTTCTGTACATTTCTATTAAAAAAAAAAAGTTATGGGTAAAAGATTACATAGTGACTACTTTCAGCTTTGTATGGATTTGCTGGTAGTCAAAAGGTATTCCATTCTTCTGTCCTGCACACAATCAATGGGAATACAAGCTCTGCACCATCATCCATTTTATAACACAAAAACATATTGACCAGGCCTATTTGCCAGGATCACCTTTCCAAGGGATCTAGTGACTAGCTGAATTATGCCCTTGATTAGCTGCCCTCTACTCACTGAAACAGAATCAATTGCCAGAATCTCAGGTGTTAGAAATATTCTCATCACCCACACAGAGCTCTTTCAAAACCACACATTTTAGAAAAAAACTTTTCTGTACATGCAATATATTTAGTATTCACCTCAAATCACAACCCTTTATCAGCGTTTACATTGAGGGATGTGCACATAATCTAAACACCTCAGCAACTCCTAACAGGTCTCGTACACACCACGCTACCATGACATCCTATACAAAAATTTAAGTATTAGACCTGAAACTTCCCAGGAGACTTTTCCCAACATTCACTACAGTTTCTCCAAATAACCTTCAACAAATGCAATTTATACATTTTCCACGTACTAGAACAGTGGCACATGTCACCATGGGACTGCAGTTAAGCTTCGGTATTCTGCTTCCTATCACCATAAATTAGAATACCCCAGCTGTCTCTTACGTTCTCTTTTGTCAGAGGAAAAAGCATCACAGAAAACAGAAATAAAAAAGGTCACAGAGTCCATCAGCCTGTCTACTACAAAAAGACAGTGAAATGCTGTACTGGGAGTAATCTAATAGAAGTCTTAACAAATAGGAACTGCTCTTGGACTAAGGGAACAAAACAAAATGTTCTTTAGAATTTAATTCTTTTAGTTTATATACAAAATAACAGCCTAAATTTGCCTTCAGCAGAAGAAATCAGTCATGCAGAAAAAAGTCATTCTAAGACTGGATGTACTTTATCGCCGTTTACAAAGGCTAGTCACAGGCATCATCTGTAAAAATGGAAACGGTTCTTTGGTTTAATTAAAATCAGTTTAAAATTGATCTCACTAAATCACTATGAATTTCCAAAGCAGACAGATAATTACAGCTCTTTAAACACCAAATTTAAACTAAGCTAACGTAAGAAGGTTTAAATTGGCCAAAGTGTTAGATATTTGCACCAAGTGAACTGGATGCAATTTAAAACTTATTGGAGCCAAAGTGGTACAATTCCAGTATCCTGAACTAGTCCACACAAAACCCATGCAGCTCTGCACTCCTCCCCACGTTTGCAGGTAACCCTCTATGCAGGTTTACCATTCAGCTCCTTTACGGACTCGAGGTCTGCCTCCTGGCACATCCAGTGGCACAAGTCCCCCACCAGGCTACCAGAGTGGCACCACTGCCTGAATTATACTCAAGATTATAGTCTAAGGCACAAGCCGTTCAGAGGATGCTATGAGGAGAGGGCTGCAGGTCCTTAACCCCAGTGTAGCTGCACCTGAGCACAAGGCAGAGAAGGAGTGCACAGGCACAGAGCTGGGGCCAGCACCTCAACACGAACACCCACGCCTTCCCCAAAGGATAACGGAGGGAGGAGGCAGCCGCAGCCTGACCCCAGCTCCAGCTAGAGAGCAGTCGCACCGCCCTCAACCATCATGAAATCCAGCCAGGATGTTACTAGGGCTTTGGCTATACCATTTGTGCACCGTTTACCATTCTGCCATGTCCCATTTCTGAAGATTAGAATAATTTCAGTTATCAACACATATCCGAAATTTAGTTGCAAAGGCTTTGTTTTTCTGCATAGCCTTCAAACCATAGCTTGTTTTGTCTGCACATCAGATACAGAAACTACACTGAACCAATTCAGCTAGCCTGTTAAAAAAAAAGACAGGCCTCAATTTTTTCTTACAATTCCCTCAGTTTCAAGCACATCAAATAACTGATGGCAATTAACTACTAGACTATCAAAACGGTGCCTTGGAACACTGTGAAACAACTGAAGGTAATTAAAAAAACCCTACATTATAGTATGTCATGCATTGTATGAGACATACACTTAGAGAAAAGTTACAAATGGAAGAAAGGCCTTTCAATAGTAGTACTACAAATCAACTTTTAAAAAAACATACAGTACAATCCTAGAAGATGATGCAACATATATTCTAATGTCAGATTATGCACAAATTGCTTCAAATCCAAATTATGAAAGCCCAGAAATAATTATAACAGCTCTTTCACCATAACAATCTTTCCTGATGACCAACATGTCATAAAAATTAACAGCTTGGAGCCTGAGCAAGGGGGGGCAGGAGGAAGTCTATTGCTCTAAACCAAGGCATGACCAGCAACTTGTCTTAGTTGCACCAGTAAGGTGAAAGAGGGAGAGGTGAGGCTGAAGAACATTTCCCACTGCTGGAAAGAGCACATTCTCTTCTACCCAGCCTGATGCTAAAGGACAGCAGAACAGTCACCTAATTTATTTCAGATAATCAGTCTTTGTTTTCAGCCACAAAAGTGGCAGTTCAGTTTCTTGATCAAATGCTCTAGTTGTATCTGTGGACGGACAGGTGCAACTACCTTACATTTTTGTACGGTCCGCAAGGATTTTATACATTGGTACAGAAACTCTGAAGCGATTACCTCCCCACCCTTGCTTTAAACACATAATGCAGAATGCTTGCAAGCTCATTAAGTTCTCCGTGAAAGTAACTCAGAGATTATAGATGCAGTTTTAAAGAGAGCTCGACTATGTGAATACACCTATATTACACACAGCTGATTTTTCTTAGCATAGCAAATTCACCTTCAGAGCATTTGTGGGTGGTAACTGGTATGGAGGAAACAGATACTTGGTCATATTCAAAGCCAACTATCAAAGCACCGCTCCAAGCAATTTCTGTAGAGCTGCTTCTGTTAAGGAAGCCTGAAACACCTGCATTAAACTGTACACAAATGAAGTGAGATGAAAATATTTATTATTTACAAACATAGAGACACACAAATGTTTAACTTACCAGTAACAAAAATGAAGGATTCTCAGGGATTAATCAATCTGACATGACAATAACCATTACCATTCAGTCCCTACCTCACAAAAATATGTAAAATGTTGTAGGTTCCTAATTAGTTCTATTTTGACTCATTTGCTGAATTTCAAAGATACCAGAAAATACTCAAGATCACACTGATCTCAACGCAGCCTATGTGAAAACAAACCAGCACCATCTCTTTACACAAGTAAGCTTTCAAAGTAAGTTACTTTTGAATAAAGATTTTTATAACTCTTAAAATGCAAAGGTCTCATTGAGCTTTTTCATCTTACTTATTGAGTGTTAACAATACTTTGAGTTTATAATTTTATTAAGGGTATCTACAGAAGACAAGCAATGGCTGAGCTACATTATATTTGATACCATTTACAAAGTATTTCCTCGCCAAGGGTTCCTGTGATTTCTAAGGTCACAGGCTGAGTTCAGTAATTCAACTGTTAAATTTCCAAGACGTCACATACAAAATATTCTCTGAAGTCATTAAATGCATGTTAGTTTCTATTCTTCATTTAAAAAAAAACACTTCAAAGAGTTGTGCATTTTAGAAGTCAGAGTAGTCTTCCTTAGCCAGTGTTTAAATAATTGTATTTTTATTGACACACTCCCATAATGTGCATGTCATTGAGTTGTGACATTTGAGCCACTTACCTCCTTAATGCAACAACTCACTTTAAGCCATTTGATGAAATTGCAGCACCTCTCTCTAGAGTAAGAATCACATTAGCTGATACCAGTTTCAATACATCCATCAACCTTTTTTTCCCCTCAAGGAAAAAAAAAGGGTTTTAAACCTGGTTTTGCCTTAACACTAAGAAAAAAAATATTTATTAAAAAGTAAGCTGGTAAACATCAAACACTTCCCATGTCAGTAACAATCACCTATTTAGTCAGGCGGAATAAGAGAAGCACCCCTTTCCTTAATTACATATTATAATTGTGTTCGATACTACTAACACTTTAAAACACATCTGCATCCATCAGTATTCAGTAGTGCATTGACTATGCACAAAAG